TGGACTTGATGACCTTTGAGGTCTTTTTAACCTGGTTGATTCTATGATTCCATGATTTCCTCCTGTCTTTGTGAATTCATTCACCCTGTCTTTTGGAATTACAGTCCAGAAGTCTAACAATCTCCATTTAACAGGCATAACTGGGTGACTTAGAACGAGAATTCAGCATTTCACTCCTGAGTCAAATGTCAAATTTGCACAACCTGTACCCATGAATGAAACTTTGAACAAAATGCTTTGCTGGATGTCATAGAATCATAGGATTTTAGGGGTTGGAATGGAGTTTAGAGATGATCCAGCCCCAAGCCCTGCCCTGGGCAGGGACACCTCCCAGCAGAGCAGGTTGCTCAAGGCTCATCCAACCTGGCTGTGAACACTGCCAGGGTTGGGGCAGCCACAGCCTCCCTGGGCACCCTGGGACAGGGTCTCACCACCACAACAGGGAAAATTTTTTCCTAATATCTAACCTAAATTTCCCCTTTGAATTTGTAGCTGTATCAATCTTTAAGCTGTTGTTCAACTCTACCAGAGCATCCCAGAAACCTTTCTGCCCATGAGCCCCAGGCATGATCAGCCTGAGAAGGACTTTATTAGAGACAGAAAAATGTTAACTAATAAACAGGCCAAAGTAATTAAAAATGTAAAATCTTAATAGTAGACAGTGATGATTAACATTAAAGATAGGACAGTTTATTCAAAGGCACAAATTAACATACTTAAGGTATTTTAAATTTGTGATTTAAAAAACTAATTTGTGCTGTTATTTAAAAGGGTAACAAATCCCTGAATCCTGGTAAATCAGTAAGCCACAAAGTTAAGAAATAGTTTTGAAATTCACTACTTGCTTGTGATAATTAGGTGCAAATTCTACAAAGCAAACACACCGTGAAAATTGAGGACAAAGAATCCTCCTGTCGAAAAATCACTGTGAAATTTCAGGAGGACTTGGTTGGTGGAGCTGTAAGCTGTTTCCAGAGCTGTGTTCCCACTGAACACTCCAAGCTGAGGTGAGTTATGGTCGGGACCATCCCTTGGAAATGAAACATAAAAAAGTCAGTTAAAGAACTCTTGTTCTGAACATTTAAATGAACAATCTTTTCTCTGGAGAGCAGGTTAAAATATGGTACAAACCTTTTTCTAATGGTTTTAAATGAATTTGTTTTCTTTTTATTTCTAGCAACACTGAGCATTCTTTCTAACTTCAAAGGTTGATACTCTTTGAGACACCAGTTGGGTTTGGGTGGAAAGAAATATAGGTTCAGACAGGAGGAACATACAATACAAAGCTTAAAGACATGGAGGAACAAGGCCTGAAATCCTGGCTTAGAAAATATACAGACTATGTCTATCAGCCAAGATGAAATATTAAGAACTTAAAAAAATCTTACTTAATGCCTAAATTAGGTAATGTCTAAAGCTGGCAAAGAGTTTTGCTACAGCTAATATCTATGACTCATATGTTCATGGAACCTGCAATTCAACACAATGCAGAATATTACATCACTTCCACCTCACTTAGAAAGGGAAGAGCTCAAACAAGATCCTATTGATAAGTGATTTTGAGTTTCATAGTACTTTTGGAGCAATATTCTCATCGAGTTCAAACAGGGAATATAGTATTTTTACTTGTTTGTTTCCTGCTGTTCTTCAGCACATACAACCCAAAGAGCAATGCCAAGGAAAGCTGCAGCCTGGGACAGTGAGAGCTCTTAAGTCAGTCAGAAACCAATCACTGCATACCATACTGCAATGTAGTCGTTCACAGGTTCAGTTTGGAGCAAGGTAAAGTTGATATAAATCCCATGGCCTGGAGGTACAATAATCAACCAAGTACAGTCCTTGGAATTTGGGTATTCATCTGGAAATCCTGGGGAATAAACTGTACCGTTCTGAGCAGTTACGTTATAGCCACAAGGAGCTGAAAAGAAAAGAGATGCAAAAAATTAGTAGGAGAAACAGTTTTTCATGTGATGAATGGAAGGAACATCAAAATGCTACCAAATTCTAAAGGCTCCACAGGACAAGACAACCTCGGTCTAAGGACAATGTTTTCCTTGGTCGGTTGCTTCTCAAAGGCAGAAAATATTGCCATTTCTCCTGGCATCTTATGGATTTATCCACCCAAATCTACTGGGAATATTGCTTCAATATAATTGCTGAAACTAAGTCAGCACACATTTTACAAGGAGCACCTTTGACTTGGATTCAAGATTAAGAAAGAAATGAGCAAACAAGTCCTGCATGTTTCCATACAACTGAATCCTAACTGAACTGGAACACAATTTTTTGTGTTTGAGCCATGTTTACTGGTGATTCGTTTGCAGATTGTATGCTAATTATTCTTCTGACAAGCAAAATGGAGATACAGACACAAATTAGCTCACACTTGCTGACTGAAATGCGTAGCCAAGTCGAAGCTATGGAGAGGCTGATTTTATTCAAGGGTAGAAAATATGCAATAATGTGCTCTCTTTTGAGCCTCAGTTTGGGAGAACTGACTGATTATGGATGCAAGCATGTGTCTGAGTAGACATATGGTCATTAATGCAAATTAATGAGTCTCACTCATTCGAGCAAGACTTTAATCTCATCTATGGGCACTCTAGAACTTTGCTCATTAGCTCTTGCCATAAAGCTTATGCTATTATTGCCCAAGCCCTGCCCTGGGCAGGGACACCTCCCAGCAGAGCAGGTTGCTCAAGGCTCATCCAACCTGGCTGTGAACACTGCCAGGGTTGGGGCAGCCACAGCCTCCCTGGGCACCCTGGGACAGGCTCTCACCACCAGAACAGGGAAAACTTTTTTCTATATCTAACCTAAATTTTCCCTCCTCCAGTCTGAACCCATTGCCCCTTGTCCTGTCTCTGCAGTTCCTAACACAGAGTCCATCTGCAGCTCCTTGTAGGACCTTCAGAGATTGAAAAGTTGCTCTGAGGTCTTCATACATTAGGACTAAATACACTAATATTATACTTTAGTAGAGTAAGTCATGTTCACACCTGTTATACAAAGAACAACCTAAACTTCATGGATTCTTTGACACTGGATTTAAGTAACAACATGAGGAAAAGAAGCTTCTGTTCATCTTTCAGCATCAAATATACTGACCATACACTCTGCAATGCAAACCTGTAGCACCATTAGCCTCTTGTGATGATAGAAATAATTTCTTTCAACCTATTTTATATATTTTAGCTGGTGGATTACCTATGACACCACTTCAGCTCTGCACAATGACTTCCTAGCTTTGCCATGACAGCCTATATGAGACTTTATCAAAGACTCTAAAAGAATGTCAGAAATTTTGTTTCTGCACCTCTATTTTTCAGATAAAAAAAAAAGTTTTACAGTGTGAAATATTATATGCTACATTTCTCATAAATCAGAAAAAAACCCCAACCAAATAAAATCACATTGAGTTTAAGATAATTTCTGGCAGTCTCATGAGTTCTCCTAATCAATACAACTTGGCAGATATTAATAGGAACAATAAATCACTGCTGAGGAGCACAAGCCATAAACTATTTATGGTTTATAAAAGCACATAGTATTCTGTCTTTATCTGCTCACACCACAGCTGATGACCAAGGTGCAGTTGTCTAGCCAAGCTGCATGACCTACGTGCACACAAACAAGGAAACACAACCCAGCAAGGACTGTGAGCTCTGAAGAGAAGGAACTAGCAGCAAATTACCTTCACATCGGGGGAAATGGTAGTTCCAGTTCCTGTTGATGCCATGCTGGCAGGTGAGGACAGGCTGACCCCTCAGCACATAGCCAGGGTAGCACTCGAAGGACACCGACTGACCCACGCTGTAGTCTGAGTTGACGATGTATCCGTTCAGAAAAGGAGGAGGATCAGGGCAGTTCTGCAACTCATAGGCTGGAAGAGAACAGAAGGACTTTTTATTGCTTAATGAACTGTCAAGGCAGGAATTACACATTGATATCAACTCTGCAATGCATTCCATGAGAGATAAAAACTGGAATGCCAAGCTGCAGTAAGAGAGGGATTATACAACAAGGAATAAATCAGCCATTGGGACCATCCAGATCTCTGTAAAGAAATGATAAAATTAGCTCTAGAGATAAAACCTAGAAAAGAACAAAATCCGGAATAGAATGAACTTTGAGCTCCATCAGAAATTTCGAGAGGAATCTCAGATAAACAAAGGACACAAGGCCTGAAGATGGAACATTGTTGTATAGTAGTTTACATCATTTACAAACTTTAAGTTCAGACCTAGTGCCTAAGGTCTGAGGAGTAATTAGCTTTGTACTAGTCATGCTATGCAATAATGACAAGATTTATTTTGAGAAAGTTTTCTTCTTTTCCCTAATTCCTTTAGGGGATCCACAATCCAGTGCTTCTAACACCACAAAGGTGGAAGACCTGTGGCTGTACCAGAAATATTCTGAAATCCTCTATTAAATCAGATCCTTCTTCTCCCAGATAAGTAAAAATTGAGAAAAGAAATAAAAACTTAACAATATAAGAGTTAATTGCTGCTGGAAAGGAAATATAAAATGGCTTACTCTAGTTAAACTGTGGTTTATTAAAATCTAGTGCTAAATCTAGTAATG